TGCTCAATCCAATTCCATAAGACCTCATTTAGTCTCAGAGAACTAACTCAGCCTCTCAAGAAAAACAAACATGTATTAATCTATTCATGAGGGTGGTTTGTCCACGTCTTCAAATGCTGCTTCAGGACCCTAATACCTGAATACCGTCAGATGATAGAATGAAGCTTCAACATGAGTTTTGGTAGGAACAAACCATATTCAGACTATAGCATCTTGTAAGGTAAGGGCTCAACTTTGTTTCTTTGCCTGTGGATATTTAGTTTTGCCAACATTACTTGTTGAAAAGACTGTTCCCCTTAAATGGTACCAACACCTTTGTTGAAAACCAATTGACCACTGGGTATGGCGATACAGTCCTGCAGTCTCACCTACTTGAAAGGCTGAGGCAGGAGGATCACAAGTTTCAGCCAGCCTGAGTAATTTAGTAAAATTCCATCCTTAAAAAGGAGGGATTTGAACCAACCAAATAGCTCAGCTGATTAAAGTGACCGCAAGCAGGCATATGGGCTGCGGGTTCTATCCCTGGGCCTGCCATGCTGGCCCCGCCCCCAGAGCTCGCTGAGGTAGTGATTGAGACTGGGCATGATGGTGTGTGCCTGTAATCCCAGCACTCGGGAGGCTGAAAACAGGAGAATCACTCCAAGTCCAATCTAGTAATGAGATCCTGAACACACTGCAGACCCTTCCCTAAAAAAATACAGAAAAAGAAAAAGGGGGACTTGCTGGGGAATTAGCCCAGTAGAATAAGAATCTGCCTGGCAAGCACAGGGTCCTGATTTCAATACTTGGTATTGCAAAAATTAATTAATTAATTAAATATTTTGGGGAAGGTGGGGAAAATAAAAAAGGAGGGACTTGAGTTAGTGGGGTAGTTCAGTGGTAAAGCACTTGCCTAACCTGTGCTAGATCCTGAGTTCAATCTTTAGTTCCACAGGAAAAAAAATAAAGAACCAAAAAGCAATAGACCATTTATGTGAGGTTTATTTCAGGCATGCTATGCTGTGCTGTGCTGTGCTCTTTTTTTTTTTGTGGAACCAGGGATTGAACTCAGGCCCTTGCGCTTGCCAGGCAAGTGCTTATTCTATTGAGCTATCTCCCAGGCCCCGCTCTCTCTTTTTAGCATAGGAAGAATTCATTGAGAGAAAGAAATGTTTCTGTCTGAAAAAGGAACAGATGGGGGCCTAGAAAGTGGGTTGCCTCTATCCTATCTTATCCTATCCTATCCTAATTCTATCTGCCTATATTCTATCTTTATGCTCATACCATACTGTTTTAATTACTGTAGCTTTGTGGTACATTTTGAAGTTGGGAAATGTGATCTTCCAATTTTATTCTTTTTAAAGATTGTTTTGGGTATTGAAAGGTAATTCTGGGTGAATTTTAGGATTCATTCCTTTTCCTTTTATGTAAAAAGAGACTATTGGGCTTTTAATATGGTTTATGTTGAATCTATAGTTCTATTTATGTAGTATTGACATGGTTTTAGGGAAAGGCACTGGGAATCAAATCCAGGGGCACTGTGCCACTGAGCTACATCCCAGCCCCTTTTATTTTTTATTTTGAACTAGGTCTTGCTGCCCCTCTATGGCTGTTTATTTAGTCCCTTTCTCACTTTCTTTTTCCCTTTGACTCAACGCTCTTATTTTCAAAGCAAGAAATACCTAAAAGTGAAAGCACTACAGCACTGCCACATTGCCCATTATTCTCTAGGTTCTGGTCAGTGGGGCATCTGAGCCATTAGAAGGCACCAGTCTCAAGGATACTCATCAAGCTCCCAGAGACACTTCCATGTCAGTCCTCTTGGGGTGGAAGGCCCAAAGGCAAACAACAAAAGAGGCACCAGTGAGTATTGACCTCAAAATGCCAAGATGCTTGATGAGAGTGACTCAGAAATCAAGAAGCTACTTGTAGCAGATCAAGCACAGTAATGCCTTGTCAACATAGGACGTATTCTCATGATCCTGATTAAGGACTATGTTATGACATGCAGATAGGGTTAGGATTCTTCAGGAACTGTGCCGGAGGTGGCTCAGGCTCAAGAAGGGAACATTTGCATCCTGCCACCCGCATGGAGGCCAGCGGCGTGTGGTGTCACACTGAGAAGTCTCTGGCAGACATTGACAAGGACCACCAGGAAAGTCCCTCCTCTTCAGTTCCACCGACTGCTCTCCTGTCAGGCAGGATTCTTAGACTGCTTTTTACCTCCTTCTTTGTCTAAGAAACAGAATGTTTGTGTTTCTACCTCTGAGGAGAATCTGGACTGGTAACTGTGGATGACACTGAGAAATTTCTCACATTGCCTTCCTGCAGGACTTTGCTGGGCTAGAGGAATTCCTTAAACAGGAATATGAAAGGCTGGTGAATACGACTGAGAGGACGCACGTGCACACACACATGCACACATGTGGTCACCAACAAACACATGGAACTGAGAAATTAGAATGTGCTACCCTTTATATTTTGACCCTTCCCCCCCAAGAAAAGAGTATTCTGGCTGAAGAACCATCTTAGAATCTTTTCAGTCTACTCCTTCCATCTCCAGTGTAAAGGAGTGTACTATATTCCAACAGTATGAATCTTCCTCATATCTTTTAGGAAAAATCAGGCAATAGCTGGGTGTGGCAGAGCACGCCTGTAATCACAGCACTTGGGAGGCTAAAACAGGAGGATCATTGGGAGTTTGAGACCAGCCTGGGTTACAAAGTGAGCTCAAGGCCAGTCTGAACCTCATAGTGACACTCTGTCTCAAGAAGACAGAAAAAAAAAGCAATCAATCAATCAATCAATCAATCAATCAATCAATCCCAGGCAAGGAGGGAATGGTAGAACCTTCAAACTTGAAGAATTACCTCCTGACACTTTTAGGCAGAGATCAGTTGCTGCAGCATCACATGGGTAAGCTTCTGTCAAATACATGGAATACTGGGTGCTCCGGGACAAGGTGCCACAGTAGCTACCAGAGAGAATTAAAAGTGGGAAAAGTTGATAAAGGAACATGTCAGTATGATTTCAGCCTCCAAGGCAACTTTCTCTGTGGCTCAGACATGGACATTTTATAGTAGCTATTTCATTTCTATTACAGAAAGAAAATCTAGGGGCTGGGGAGATGGCTCAGTGGAATAAGTGCTTCCCTGGCAAGTGGAAAGGCCTAAGTTCAATCCCCGGTTCCACCAAAAAAAAAAAAAAAAAAAAAAAAAAAAAGAAAAAATCTAAAGTTGCTTATGATGCTTAATGCTATTTTTTCCAGTGCAAATATTATGCTTGATTACATAGTCTATTTCTACTTCTTCCATAAATCACTGGCAACTTCCCTCAAAACAATCCCTTGCCTCTGACCTGTTGCCTTTCACGCCATTTTTATATCACCTTGTTAGTCACGAATGAGTTACATCACTCCATGATGAAAAAAATTCATTTATTGTAAATAGACTTAAGTTTTAATGTCTTTTTATGTCATTTGCAGCTTCTTTCCAAGTTCCTTCCTTATCTTACTTTATACTATGTCCTGATTGCCCAGCTACCGTGTTCTGTGCTGTGACTATAGTTTCCCCCACATGTAATGCAGGCCTTTCTCCTTTTTTACTTTTCTGACTCCTATTCACATCTCAGTCCTAGGTTTGAATCCTAATTCTGTTGCTTCTAGTCACACTTTCGCCCTTTGCTGAGTGTTGAATAAGGCCATAAGGTTCCTTGATTGGTGCAGATGCTGGAGGATGTGAAAAATTCCAAGAGCACACTCACCCTTGGTATACATTTTGGTAGCTAGTCAAGTGATTAATTTACATATCTAATTGAATTAGATGCGTTGTGCATACAAAGAGAATAAGGTCTATGCCTTGGAGGAGAAAACTTTGCTGCTCTGTCACTTTTCTTGAAGATAAGCCTTGTTTCCACAGTAAAATGCAAATTCTCAGGTTCTTCCAGAAGGTTGCTACAGTAAGCGCATCCTAGGATTTCAGAGAGACTTCTGGTCTTACACGGAATTAAACCTTCACTCTCTCCTCTCTTTTCTGGAGCTCAGGTATAAATTAAGAACCGTAGTTGAAGTGTAACAGCTAATTTGCTCCTAACCAATCAAAGGTTACAAAAACTGTATTTCACTTCGGCAAGGCTATGAACTAGTCTTCTAAAAGAAAAGAAATGCCACCTCAGTGAGCTCTTCAGCAGCATGGAAAAAGTTGCTGGAAGGTACTGTCGTCCATTCTCCTGACCTGCCCTTCAAAGAGGTGGAATCCAGGGCAGTGATTGAAAACAATGAGTGCATAAAGGAGGAAAGCAAAGGGAGCACAATGGGGAGGGAAGCAATGGAACTTTCTTCCAGCATGAGCCCTAACAGCCATCGAAGGCGGACTGGTTTCCTTCAGACATAGAGCCAGATGCGCCCGGGTCAGTCGGTGAAAATCACAGTTCAGACTTCATACGTTTGTAGTAATAAAGGCTGATGTCCAGAGTTTGGGTTCCAGACACCTGTTCCTACAGGTAACAGCAGCTGGAAAGCCTGCCTTGAGTGATTCTGCGGTTCTCTCCCATAAAGCTCCCGAAATGGGAGGATTTGAAGAAGTGGAAGTCCCACGCCTAGATTCCTCTCTGTGGGGCTCCGGGATAAGTTGAAAGATGAAACCCAAAGCAGAAGAGACTGGCTGGTGCTGGGAAGCGGTCGGGATGGCGCGGACCTCTTCGTGACCTCAGGCATCCTTTGTATCTTCCACCCTAAACCCAGAGAAAAGTCCTCTCCTGTAGACGACCCTGGCCACCGATCCTCACGCCCGTCCTGGCGCCCACTAACTGCTTGTGCTTTGGGCCACGACTTCGCCCGCCTCTTTCCCCTGGCTGTGGGCGGCGGCTGGGTCTCCCCCCAGCCCTGGCCCCTACCGGCGCCTGGGCCGTCGAAGCTCGCGCTCCTCCTCTCTGGCCTCGGCTCCCCTCCTTCTCTCCGCAGCTCTGTCCCTCCCCCAGCCTCGGCGGAGGGGGGCCGGGCTTGGCTCCGCGCGGCTTGTGCATTCCAGAGAGCGGGGCCAGCCCGAGCAACAAAGGAGCCCGGCGGTCGGCGGGGAAAGGCTCCGGGGCCGCGGCGCTCGCGCGGAGGTGGCTGCGGAGCCGCGGGCTGGCGCGGGGGCGGAGCCGGGGCCGGGGTCCTGCTCCCTGGCGGGCGTCTGGGCTCCGTCGCTGGCCCGGGAGCTGGGTTTAACAGTGGGAGGGGGAAATGGGGCCAGGACTTGGGCGCCAAGGGGGCTCTCGGGGCTAAAGACAGCTTGGATTTTCAGGCGAGGGAGTGAGGAGTTGTGCATCCTGACCCGGCCTCCGCCGCGCAACATGGGCCCCGGGTCCCAAAGTTTGCAAAGTTGGGAGCCGAGGGGCCGGGGCGCGCGGAGCGTCCGGGGGAAGTCGGCCCCACACCCGCGGGGCACACAGGTCTCCTGAGCCGCCTCCGCGGCCCCCGGGGTTGCGAGCGCGACAGGGGCTCCGGGGGGCTGGCGGGGGCGCCCGGGAGGCTGCTGAGTTGGCGGCTTTGGCCATGGCCGTTGCCCGCCCTGCGCGGGGGCCCGAGCTGCCGTTCCTGGGGTTGCTGCTGCTCGTGCTAGGGGTCCCGGGCCGGGGGGCGGCCTGGAGCGGGAACGCGACAGGGCCTGGGCCTCGAGGCGCCGGCGGGAGCGCCAGGAGGAGCGCGGCGGGGACCGGCCCTCCGCCGCTGCTGAGCCACTGCGGCCGGGCCGCCCCCTGCGAGCCGCTGCGCTACAACGTGTGCCTGGGCTCGGCGCTGCCCTACGGCGCCACCTCCACGCTGCTGGCCGGGGACTCGGACTCCCAGGAGGAAGCGCACGGCAAGCTCGTGCTCTGGTCGGGTAAGAGCGCCCATCCGGCCGGGGGGTGTGGGTCGGTGGGATGGTGGCTCAGTTGTAAGGGTCAGGCTCAGGCGGAGCTTCGGAGAGGCGTTGGCCGCACCCGGGGGAGGTGGAGAACCAACTCTGAACTTTGGGGGGAGGGGTCAGGTTAATTTCGGGAGGGGGCCACTTGTGATGGGAACTCGTGGGTGAGGAAATTGAGGACGCCAGTCACAAAGGGCCTGGGCAGGGGTGAGCAAGGCGTGGGGGTGGTGGTGAAAGATGAGGGTGAGGTATGGGGTGAGCCCCTAAGGGGACTCTGAGGCTCAGGAAAGGACTTTGTAGGGAGAGGAGCCACTCTTTCTACTCTGGAAACTGAGTGCAGGAATTCAATGATCTTCAGACCTCAGGGAAATACGACTTGAAGAGAAAAAAAAGGGAAGGACGGGGTGCAAGAGATTTAGGCATTTGGAGAGAAAAGACGGGAGCAAATTTGCGAAGTAAAAGAAGCCCCTTGGTGATGAATAATTAAAAGACAACCAGAACTATCTGGAAATCTTGATTTAGGAGATAAGTAGTGCAGAGAACTGTGATTTTTGTTTTGCTTTCACAGTCTCCTCATCTAGAAAGTAAGAACTTTGTTCCTCACTGAGGGGCTTGGAAGGAAATATTGTTTGCCTATTCTTTGAAATTTAGATCCTCTGGCTGATTGGGGCTGGGGAAGAACCTTGAAGTCTGGGATGCTGATAGCCTGTGGGTTCTTCCACGTGGTTTGAAGCCTCAGAGCCCTCTGCTTAGGGTGGGATGGTGGCAGAGCCTGAAAACTGCAGAGTGAACCCAAAAAAGTCTTTCCGAAGTATGTAGAGGGGATAATCTACTTGTCACAAAAGCTTGGAGGGTGCTGGGGAAGGCAACTGGCTTTGTCACCCCTTGCTTCCATGCAGTATGATTCAGAAACTGTCCTTAATGGAAAAAGAAAAAAATCAAAAGCCAAGAGCAGACCTGAGAGCCCTCTTCTTCAATAGGCCTGAGGTGCCCCATCTCTTAGCCCTGCGGACCTGGCCACCAGAGTTCTCAGCTTTTGCTGACTTTTGGACAAGGCCATAAGGTTGCTGGGTTGGTGCCAATGCTAGAGGAGGAAGTTGGAGGATGGTACTCATGAAGTGGAGCTACAGCCTATGTGGGGAGTCAAGCTCTACAGTCAGCACAGAAGACAAAAGCCATGTGTAACCAACAGTGGCCCTGAAAAATCCATGTTACTATAGTGCAGTGATGGCAAACCTTTTAGAGACCAAGTGTCCTAACTGCAACCCAAAACCCACTTATTTATCACAAGGTACCAACATGGCAATTAAACCTGAATGCTGAGGTTTTAGTTTAGAAAAACAAAAACAAAAACAACTGTTGTCTGATGCGTGGCTAGGGAGACTTGGCTTGAGTGCCAACTGAGAGGGCGCTGTACACCCGTTGTGCCACACGTGCCATAGGTTCACTATCGCTACTGTATGCTACCATCAGATCAAGGAGAAGGGGATGGACTTTTTTCCAGCCACTGTGCTGTGACAGCTGCTGAGCTAGCAAAATGGTTTTGGCAGGAAGGTAGATGAATTAGACCATCTGTAGGTTGTGCAGGTTCAAATCTCACAAGATGGCAGGGCAGGGGTCGGCAGAGCTGTGAGCGCTGAGCCTAGGACTGCTCTTATCACAGAGCATACATGCCACATCACAGAGCTTACACTGCAGTAACTTAGGGGTTTTTCAGAGCTGCTGTTTATGACATATGACTTCTGTTTTATGTGCTGACTTTAGAACCCGATCCCTACAGGACATAGTCCCATCTCATGGGTGCTATCTTCCAAGTTCCTCCTGCACTCTGAGCTCTTATTTTTGCTGTCTACCATCTCTTTCCTTAGTCTTGTACCCTTGCATGTTTGATTGCACTCTTTCTGCTTTCTGCTTGCTGTTTGATGGCCTGTGAAATGTTGGTGTGAGCTGGCTCAGTAGGTGGAAAGATTGAACACAAGCCACTTAAAAGAATCACAGCCAGGTCTTTAGTAGGAGCCTCTAACTAGTGTTTTGGTTTTTTTTTTTTCCTCTGGAGTTGGTAGTCTTGATTTGGTGTTAGATGTGATCAGTTGTTATTCTGCTCTAGAAGGTGGTTTTGTTGGTGAAAGATGGAGATAATCTAGGTTATCTTCATCTGTAGTCTTTCGAGGGTAGAGAGTTGGTCTTCACTTTTTCTCCCAGAGCCTCAGAGTGCTGAGTCTACAGCTAACTCACTCATTCATTCAATTAGGCGTTGCATGCTTCTGTACGTTGTATCTTGAAACAGGTCTGGGGCACGTAATGATAAGAATATAAATATGATCTCTTTGCTGTCAAGAGGAAGACAGACAATTAAGCAAGCTTTAGCAAAACGTGTGGGAAGTACTGTGACAAGAACACCAAGTGTTTTGGAGACCAAGGGAAGATCCTCAGAGGAACTGATATTTAATTTGTGACTTGAGAAATAAGCAGGAATTACCAAGGTAGAGTTGGGGCAGAGAGGAATTGAAAGAGCAAATAAATAGCATGTATTAAAGGAAAGAGGGCTTGTAACTTAAGAAATATAAGGGCTGTGGAGATAGCTCAGCAGTTGAGGTGCCTGCCTAGGTAAGCTGAAGGACCTGGGTTTGATCCCTATTACCACATGCTGTACTGGCCCAGCCCCAGGTGCACTGAGCTAGCCACCAAGACCTGGCGTGGTGGCACAGGCCTGTAATTCCAGCGCTGGGGAGGCTGAAACAGGAGGATCACTACAAGTCTGAGCTGCGTAGTGAGACGCAGCTGTACCAAATACATAAAATAAAAAAAAGAAGAAAAAGAAATAACAATAAATCATGCATGAGGGTGCACACCTGTGAGCCCAGATCTTGCTTCAAAATAAAAACTAAATTAAAAATAAAAGAGGGCTGGGCTGGTGAGATGGCTCAGTGGTCTAAAGCACCCACTTAGAACAAGCTAAGCTAAGCAAAGCACAGGGACCACGGTTCAAT